TTTTCTTGGCAATCGCTGGCAGTCATTGGCAGTCTTATGGCAGTCGCCTATAATAATTACATGGCAGTCATAGGCAGTCTTCTTCGTAGTCATTGGCAGTCGCTTGACAGCGAAAGATTATTTTGGCAGTACGTGTACAATTTTTACCTGAGTGAGACACCCCTCGATTGTGACTAAGTGCCTACGAGTCACAATTATCACAATTTTTAACGTCATTGTGGGCATTCTTTTTAGAGTACTTCCATATTTTGCTTTAAAAAAATAATAAACAATATCGTAGGCACTTAGTCACCAATCGACAACACAACATGAAACTTAAGTTACACTCTATTTATAGCCTCTTAAACTTTAAAAACACCTTTTTCACAATTAAAATCGACAAAATAATTAACTCAAAAGTACAAACAGCCTGAATAGTAAACACTCGGCTGAAGACTGTGATGTTTGGTAATTTTATAAATAAAATATTCTTTGACTCCAGAACATTTATTTTAACTTTTTTTCAGTTAACCTCTCAATTGATACTACTGGGGATTATCTCGGCTGTAATTTTTATAACTATACCATAGGCAACCAATAATAGAAACTATTACGACAAGGGCTACAATGACGTCACAACTGTCAGCTGAAGCGCGGGAAGAGACGAACGTACTTTTAATGAGGATGAGCAATCCTATTAGTTTACCGTTCTTGGTGGAGGCCAACAATATTTACAATATAAACAGATGATAACAAAACCTGCTTATATGATACAGAGTGTCCCAGAAATAAATGCATATATTTTAAAGGGTGGTAGATCTGGTCAAAACAACCATCTTTTCTCTTTACCATTTTAAAAATAACGGATTTCTGGTGTCAAAATATACTCACCCTCTATAGAACTTCTTTACCCTGTATAGGTTTTCGTACCAGTAAAAGCCATGGTAAACTATTTAGCAAGATATTTTTACACTTTTATTTTTGCTATAACAGAGTAATAAGAAACAAAAAAAAGTTTGGTTAAAGACATAAATAAAATCAAAAAGCAACAGAGCAGAATCACTTTTTATAAAACTTATATAGCATTACAGGATTGGATCCAGCTGCACCTCTATACGAATGGCCTCACACAGAATCCCTAGACGAAGTTATTGATCCCAGCGATGCCACATTCGTTGACATCATCCACACCAACGCCAGACATCTTGGAATGGTGAGTCCCTCAGGACACGTCGACTACTATCCCAACGGGGGAGAAAACCAACCAGGATGCGCGTTCTGGATATGCAGTCATCAAAGAGCCGTGGATTACTGGACAGCTTCAGTGAAGAATCCAGAGCTATTCCACGCATACCCTTACCATTCTTGGGATGAATATCTCTCCGAAAACGTGAAGAAACTGAAGAGCTATCCTATGGGAATTGCAGCAAGTAAAAGTATTCCTGCAGGGATATATTATTTAGAGGTTGGGAATGAATTTAGACAGTATCTGACGTCTGTGAATAGTATCGATGATAGTTGGATATAAGATTAGTTCTTTTATTAATACATTAATAAACAAATTAGACATATAAACGATTTCTTATTATTTTATGATCACAATCAAGTTAAAAATTAAATAAACCACAATTAAGTTTTGAAGTAAAACAATATTGCTTTAGAAGGAATTTCTAGGAGGCTAGTAAACTTTTTCTCACACACTGTATATACATTGTAAATCATCTAAATAAATAAAACAAAATAGAAGAAAAAATAAATATATGTATAAACAATTATTGTTCACATCAACAAAACTCACCTCTTTAACAGCACTTAAGGGACATAAAGGGCCATTACTACCACATATTATACAGATTATAAACTTTGTTTTTTCTTTATTGTTTTTCGTGGTTCCAATTTTTGGAATCGGGCACTAGTTAGGTTACTAGTTTGCGCACATAGCACGCCCACTTATGGCCTCTAAAATTGTGCACAGCGCCTGACCGGCACAGTTATTAGAGAGATATCGGGAAACCGAATAGCGTCATGCAGTATTTACGCTTACCTTATCATGGTTACGATATGCGCGAGTCAATTTTTAACGCGATACCCGCTAATAACGTTACCGCCTGACGTAATTTGCAGATCAATTACACCAAGCGTTATTTCTAAATAACGTTGAAAAATTGCTTAAATGGGCATGTGCGGGTATTTACAACCCGAGTCAGCCGGCGAGATCTTTTATTTTAGGTCATGTTTGAATTGTTTTGAATTATTGCTTTAGTTTTATTAGATAATTTGATGTTTAAGTAGCTGGGATTAGTTTTAATTAAATAAATATGGCCCAAAATATGGATTCCACCTCTTCCAATATTAAAGAACCTATAAAGAGGCTTAGGTTTACAGCAGATGACGACTTAGCCCTTCTAAGAGAATTTGTTGCTTGTTGCCCTAAACCCACTGGAAGACGTTGAACAATAAAGCACTGGAAATAAGCACTTTAGCCCTTTAGTTTTAAAATACCTAGTAAACAAAACAATTTCAAAGTTTTAAATTCAAAGTTAGTTTAAGTTTAAATAGCGGACGCGAACAGAATAGGTATATATATAACTAGGATTCTTTCCGATCCGATAACTATAAATGAAGAGAGTTAATACCACCTCACGTAAAGGAAATAACACCTGGCCTTATTAACGTCCATGCAGCTATTCGGTTTAGCGATATCTCTCTCTATTACGCTGTTTATTGTTATTTTACGCGAGTTTATTTTTGCGCACAGGAAATTTTACTCGTTTGCACATCGTCATAAAAAACAATTTTCGTACCACGAATTAGGGATAAGATTTTTATCTGTATACATATAGTATACCTAATCTGTGTTACTACCGCTTTCCCGTTCAAAATATTCTAATAAATTTGCGATGAGTTTTTTACGACTATTAAGCTATCTTGTACATTTCGCACTAAAAGAGGTTCTAAAAAGAACAATGTCCGACTGAAAGTTTTGCTACTAAACATTTAAGTTTAAAGTATCACAACACAATCAATTTAAACCAAAAACTCGTAATACAAAAGTAAAGTGTCAAAACGAATGACAATGTCAGGAAATAAATAAATAAATGTGGCAATTTGACATTTTTTACGGCAGAGCTACCACCTGTATCGCCAGAGAAATTTAAATTCCAGTTTGTCAGCTCGGCGCTGAGTACGTCAATGGTTGGCAGCATTGAATTTAAAAATGGCGCCCTCGATGACGTAACTCAGAGTTTAATCGGTATCGCTTATACAACAATTTGTTTTGACCCAACGTATAAAAGTAAATAGTAAACTAAACCTTTATTTATTTACAGTTAATTTCACAATATACTTGATATAATTTTTTTAAAGATATTGACTCTTTTTTTAAGATAATTGAGTCATGTCATTATCAAATTATTTGACTGTTGAGTTCGGTATCTTATAATTTTTCACACAAAACACACTTAACTAATCTAATAAAGTTCTTAATTAACCCGATGTCTATAATAAAGCAAAATGTCTGTCTAAACATCCCCTTGTTTACTTAAACTTAGCTAACATTGTGTGTTTCTGAAGCAGGCATAGCAGGAAGACGATCTATCAATCAATGTCTGCCATGTAACCAATACAGGAAAAAAACAACTTCGGAATTTTTTAAGTTATTTTAAAAAGAAAACACTTCTTTAAAAGAAAAGAAATTTTTTTTATATTTCATCTGTTGTTCGTAAAACATGTTAGTTTGAATTTGTATATAACCAATGCAAAAACAGTCAAATGCCAACGTACCTTAAGTTGTTAACCTATGATTTTCTCATTGTTAAATGTAATTTGTTGTGCTGTCTACACTATACTCTGTTTTTTTTTCTCAGGTAAGATTTCGACAGACGATGACAGAAAAAAAAACAGATGACTTCCATACCAATCCACTTATTTCACTAAAAAAAGTTTCTAATATTTTTTTAAGTTAACTATGGATGGATTTATAAATAAATTCGTCATGCGTCGTCTCTTATTGATTTTAACCAGTTTTATTGGTTTATTTCAAAAATGACAGATCATATTTCAATATTATTGGTTTGACGGAAGGATCAACGACAAATGGACTCCGATGCGTATGAACTCGACTTATTTGTAAAATTAATAGGAGAGCCAACATTTGGAAAGTTCAATTTGCTTGGGATTTCCTATGTTTCCAACGCCCTTTTGATAAATTGATACTACTGCCGAAAAAATGTTATTAAAAACTACCCAATCCAAAAACTTTGATAAATTTTATAATTTTTGTTCTAAGTGGCAAATGTCTCCTATATTTTTTATTTTTATTTTTTATTATTTTATACCAATTTTAAATGTATATAGACTTACCTCGGGTATAGTAACGAAAGAGATTATAACGACTGCTATAACAATGTTCACCCAAAACAACCAACGCAAGAATATAAAATACGACGCTACCACAGAACCAAAATGAGATTCTATCTCTTTAATCTTCAGTTCCCATGGTATAAACCACATGGACATATTGGTAAGCTCCCTTTTCCAAATCTGCCACTTCTAAAACATCAAAAAAACGTTTTTACTCAGTATTATAACCTTCAGCTAATTCATACTTTGATTAGGACAATATTGTATCTGGCCAGCATATCCCTGGTTGAATGACTCTGCGCCAGTCTCTCTTGAAGCTGACCCTCGTGTTTCTTAATGTAAGCCTTCGCTTGCAACACCAGCTTCAATTTCTTGCGCATGTTCCAAGGCTGCATCTTAACGTTACTCAATACCTCTTTGTGCAGCTTGATATTTTCAAAGATCTCGTCTTGAGTAACTTCGTTGGCTTGGTCGCCATCGACAGTGATGGCGGTGCTAGAATTATATTATTATTTTTAGTTATGGATGATTAAGGTAATAGGGGTTGATGTTTTACTCTCCAGAGCTCGTGGTGAAGACCGAAGACCTTCGTC